GCGCTCCAGACCAGGGCGTCGGAGACGCCCTGGTCTGCATCCCCCCTAACTTTATTTTCATGTCGATGGACTCTCAGACAGGTCAGCCCTGTAACTTGAGAGCCCCTTCCTCAGCTAATCAACATCCTTATATACCATCTTACACAGCTAGCTTATAATTACATTATCTAGGTATTTCAAATAGACAACATGAATTGGATAAAATATTCTTTGATAAAAATAAAGGACGTATTGGAAAGTATTATAGGGTACTGCAAAGTAGGAATTTGGAAAATGAAAAAATAAAGCACTCCATGATAAAGTGGGCGCAGGACATAGGGAAACCTATAGAATTAAATAAATGGGAGAAAGCATGGTTTGATACCAATAAATTTACGAGATGCCAAGATTACAAAGAGAACTTCATCAAGATGTCGTTTAGGTGGTACCTATCCCCAGAAAAATTAAATAAATTGTATAAATTTGGAAAATATCAATGCTGGAAGTGTAATAAATTAAGAGCAAATTTTTATCATATGTGGTGGACATGTGCGGAAGCACAAAAATACTGAAAAAAGATAAGGGAAGTAATATAAAAAATATACAAAATGGAGATCCCATTAGAACCAACTTTTTTCCTGTTAAATATGTTTGGCACACTAGAGAAAACGTTCAAAAAAGAGAAAAGACGGATTCTACTTTATATGATAACGACTGCTAGAATATTGTTTGCTGGAAAATGGAAACAAACAACTATCCCCACTATAAGTGAATGGAAAAAGAAAACCTGGGAAGCGATGGAATCGGATATTTTGACTGGTCTATTAAATGATAAAGAGGAAGAGAAAGTGGCTAGAGGTTGGATAGCCTTTAAGGAATATTGTGATGAAGAAGGATATGAATGAAAAGAAACTAAAAGGATAGATATGGGAAACATAAAATATGATTAAAATATGATTGATTTAATAATGATGGTAATTTGATAAAGATATCAGGAATGTTTAAGGTATAAAGATAGAAAGAAAAGAGATTTGTTTAGTAGAGGGATAAAGGAAAAGTGTTATGAAACTAGGCAATTATACATTTATTGGGAAGTAGATAATAATATTCTGTACTAGCTGAAATTATATCAAAAGTGTATATAGGATATTAATGTGTGAATGGTTAGATTTATGTGTATAAAGAGGTATGCAAGTGAGGATATGTAGAGATGTGAACTTGTATGTGTAGTTGTTGAATGTAAATGTGTATTTTTTGTATTTTGTTGTTATTTTTGTCGTTGTCTTTTGTTTGGTTTGTAGTATATGTTATAATTATTAATAAAAATTTAAAATTAAAAAAAAAATAAACTTCTACTTGCCATGCGTGAACTATTTTGGCATTACTCATCAACACCTGGACTTATTAATTGGGTCCTATCTTTAGTCTCCTTACTTTACTCCCAGTCCATAGTCCATCGATCTTATCTCTTTGGCTCTGAAACAGTCTGCCTCTCTTCAAGGTCAAAAGCAACATTCCTTGCTATCTTTTCCAATGAAGCCAAAACTAAAAGCCTTTTACAATTGCTTTGCAAATGCAGTTTTAAAAATAGAATATGAGACCCCAAGGATCATCCTATCCAGCCCTGCATTAGCTATGAGCTTTGTAGTTTCTTTTACATCATTTCATCCCCTACAATGCCAGCTGAATTAAAATTTAAGTCAGGAGATGATTTTAAAAGTGATGCACTAAGCTCCTGAGTCAAAATTGCCAAAGTACCTAAAGGCACTCCATTAACTCTGAGATGGAATACAAGGGAGTGAAATCTTGATTTTCTTTGTATGTTCAGGTAAAAGCAAACTGCAACATCCTCTCCTAGCTTGTCTGTTCTTCCTCATCATTATGTTTTGCCATCTTGACCACCCTCTGATGTTGTTTGGCCAAACATATCTTGGGTTTCCTTTGTGAAATGTTGGAGCGCATGCTTTAACCACAGTTAATTTCTCCATCAACAGAAGGTAGAGAGGGATGGGCAGGTAAACTTGCTCCCATGGTGTTTCAGAGCCTGAACAAGGTTATCTTTTTAACATTGCTTCTAATTTAAATCTTTATTTCCTTGCTGGTTAAATTTTGCAAGGGTGGGGTGGGGGAAAGTCCTACAATAATAACTCATCATCATAATGCACATATGTGTCCTGGCTTTCTTGCACCATTTCAATGTCTTTAAATTAGGTTGCAGCCCTACTTATCAAGTACACATTTCCACATTCGCTGGGGTCAGGGGCACAGGACCCCTGTGAAAGTAAAAAATAAACAATTTTATTTTTAAAAAAACACTCTTTTATTACCTAAGAGAACACCTCTCTAGGAATCTCTAGGTCCTCCAGAGCAACTCTATGGCCAACATCTGGGAGAAGTTGACCATAGAATTGCACTGGAGGATCTACGGGCCTTTGCAGACTGCCAGAAATAGTGCAAATTG